CCCCAAAACCCCAAAACCCCAAAACCCCAAAACCCCAAAACCCCAAAACCCCAAAACCCCACAGGGTCGAGAGATTATTGATTATAAATAAAAATGCCCAACACAACTGCTGATTACACTAAACTTGAAGATGAAGACGATGATGAACTACGCCAAGAACTTATCCCTAAGAAGAATGAAGGTAGGATTTTAAAGTAACATTTTAGATACTCCAGTAGTATTTAGCCAGACGAAGAGTATTATTTTTGCCATACTTACCGGATTGTTTTTCGCTTTCCACAATTTCACACTTGGAAGTCTAGCTAAGCTTGGATACCTTGCTAGATGTGATAGCGGAGTTGGTCTAGGACTCGGATCAGTCCTTTACTATATCTACCAATACATTAAGTATAAGAACAAAAATGAAGACTACTTTGACTGGAGGAAATCCGTCTTCAGAAATCAGAATCCAGATGTACCTGAGCAGGACAGATACAAGTTTGAGTGCTGGATCCTTATCGGAATTATCATTAGAGCTGCCATTGCAGTAGGAACTGGAGTTATGGTAATTATATCCTTCGGGCTTGCTCTTGAAGGAGGTATGAACCAAGGAATCATCACAGCTATATTCGGAATGAGCCCTTTCATCATCTCCATAATGTTCTATATGAAGTTTAGAGAAACACTCAAGAAGTCCCAGCTCATTGGAATGGTTTTTATGATAGTTTGTATTATTATGATTGGGTTCTTGAGAGCTCCTTCTGAAGAAGCAATCGCTCAAGTAGACTACAATCCAAGCGGAGTACCAATTGCTTTGATCCTATCAATTATATGCCCTTTCTTCTTTGCTCTGGATGGACTAGTTGTTCGAATCTTATGCACAGATTATAAAACAGATGCTAATGAAATGACACAAGCAGCTTACCTTTTCCAAGGAGTATTATGTCTCTTCGCATCTATTCTTATATATGCATTTAGTCAAGATCCATTGCATGAATTTATATGGATGAACACCCTGCAGATGGTTTTGGCTGGTCTCATTCTTAATGTAGGTGGAGTTTTTGCTGCAATTGCTGTATCTATAGGCAGTGCAGGAGTGGCTTATTCTCTATTCAACACCCAGGTCATCATGTTTATCTTACTCGCTGCTCTTCTACTAGGCCAGATACCCACCACGATTGAAATAGTAGCTGTGATCTTTGGAATTATGGGTTCCTGCATCATGTCCCTTGGCCCAGAAATTTATGATAAGCTGACAAGGAGGTTAAGAAATTAATAGAAAATGAGCAAAAATCATTTAGATAGAGCTATGGACACTACATATTTTCAATCTAACTTGAGATGAATGGGGTTTTGGGGTTTTGGGGTTTTGGGGTTTTGGGG